GATTGTTGTTGTCTCCCACTCAGTTAGACACAAACTACAATTGTCTGTCCATCGAAAACTAAAAGCCCATGGACAAAAAATACACCATGTAATCACACAGGAACAGTAACCAAAAAATACTAAAAAAAAAAAAAAAAAAAAAACCTGTTCAATCTGCAATTCAATACCATGCAGTGAAAACAATGATAATGTAAAAACAGTATTAGTAGTATTCACTGAGCACTAAAACCAAAAAAAAAACAAACTCACCACCGTCGAGTCAATTGAGTCAATTTCAACTCATAGCAACCTCTCCTTGGATTTCTGAGGCAGTATCTCCATGGAAGTAGATTGCTCAATCTTCCTTCTGAGGAGTTGCTGGTGGGTTTGAACCACCAGCCTTCTGGTTAGCAGTCAAATGCTTTAGGCACTATGACAGTTTACATGTATTATCTCAACTAATCCTTAAAACACTCATTTAAGTCTCATTTTGCAGATGCTAAAACTAAAACTTTGTTGTTGTTGTTAGGTGCCATGGAGTCATTTCCGACTCATAATGACCCCGTGCACAGCAGAACGAAACACTGTCCTGATCCCGCACCAGCTCCATGATCCTTGCTATACTTGAGCCCACTGTTGCAGCCACCATGTCAATCCATCTCGCTGAAGGCCTTCCCCCTCTTTCATCAACCTTCCACCTTACCAAGCATTCTCTCTAAAACCTAGAGAGGTTAAATAAATTGTCTAAAGCAGTAGTTCTCGAAATGTGATCCAGAACAGTACCATCAGTGTACTAGCAAACGTGCTAGAAATGCAAATTTTCACATCCAATCCCAGAACTATTAAATCAAAAACTCTGGGTGGGTCTCCAAGATATGTGATTAAAAATGCCCTCTAAGTGGTTGAGATGTAAGCTCTGAAAATCACTGGTCTATGTATTACTTTTGTTAGCCAGCAGAATCTGATTTTGACCCAAGTCTTTCTGATCTTAAACCATTATCTATCAGAGAGCAAAGGCTGTTGTTGTGTGCCGTCGAGTCGGCTCTGACTCCCAGCGACCCCTCCTTGGGGTTTCCGAGGTGGTATCACTACAGAAGTAGATTGCCCAACCTTCCTTCTGGAGAAGGGTTAATCTGGCCTGTGGCTGAAGATGCTATGGGTAGCTAGGGATGAATTTCAGCTGTAACATTCTATCTGGAACATGGTGGATGAGGAGTTAGCCAGCTGAAGAGGGGCAAGTGGTGGAAGGAAGAACAAAACATTTCATGTAGAAGAACCATTTCTGGGACACAAAGAAATTCAGCATGGCTGAAACTGATCATAAGGAGAGGAGTAACATGAGATTTTCTGGGAGCATAAATCAGATCATGAAAGATCCAAGTAAAGATTGGATTTACCAAGCTCAAATTATCCTTCTAAGGCAAATTAGAAGCACTGAAGGTTTTAAGGAAGCAATGTCATAACCAGACTGTTAAAAAAGAAATATGAAGACACAAAAGTGACAATACAAAGAGCTAGACTACAGGAACCCTCAAAAGGTTCTTGTAGTTCCTGTAGGTAGAGGGATGACACTCAAGGGAAATGGGGGACAATGTGTTCTAGCTGTGAATATTTTTTTGTTGTTGTTCTTCGTGTTTCATTCATTTCAATTATTTATTGAGTTCTTGGTGTATTTCTATAGTATACAGATATGACTAAAAATATCTTTTCTCTTCAGAGATGTTTATAATGACAAAAAAATGATGAGATTACCTAAACAGTAGGCAAAATTAACTAAGGGTAACAAATAAAAGGGAGCTCTGGTAGTGTAGTGCCTAAGGCACTTGAGTGCTACCAGAAAGCTGGTGGTTCAAACCCACCAGCCATCCCTCAGAAGGAAGGTTGGGCAATCTACTTTTGTACTGACACCGCCTTGGAAACCCAAAGAGGGGTCACTATGAGTTGGGTCTGGCTCCACGGCACATAACAACAACAACAAATAAAAGACAAAGAGTTGAGAAGGCAAAGAAGAAACTATGAATTCCAAATCTAGGGAATCAGAGAAAATTTTGCAAATTTTGGGCTGATCTTTGTTTTTATTTATTATTTATTGGCCTTTAGGTGAAAATTTACATAGCAAATTCATTTTCCAGTCAATAGTTTATAAACGAATTGCTCCGTGACATTGGTTGCAATGCCTGCAATCCATTAGCACTCTCCCTATTTCCTCCCCAAGTTCCCCCTTTTCCATTCCAGCTTCCCTATCCCTCCCTCTCTTCTCATTTTTGGTTCTGGGAAAATGTTGCCCTCTTGGTCTCATGTAGTTGATTGTTGTAAGAAGTACATTCTTCACGGGTGTTATTTTTTATTTTATAGTCCTGCCTATTATTTGGCTGAAAGATGGCTTACTGGAGTGTCTTCAGTTTCAAGTTAGAAGTTTGTCTCAGGGCAATAGTTTTGAAGGTTCCTGTAGTCTCTTTCAGACTAGTAAGTCTGGTCTTTTTTTCTTTTCACTTTTAATTTTGTTCTACATATATCCTACATTCTAAAATGTGATATCTAGGCACCATCTAGTTCTTCTAGTCTCAGGTTTGAGGAAGCTGTGTTTCATGTGGCCCATTAGTCCTTTGGACTAATTGCTTCCTTGAGTTGTCATTTTCCCTTTATTCTCCTTTGCTCCAGGTGGGAAAAGACCAATCGTTGCTTCTTAGATGGCCATTCACAAGTCTTTAAGACCCTAGATGATACTCATCAGACTAGGATATAGACTATTACCTTTCTGAATTGTGTTTTGCTGACTCACCTAGATGTCCCCCAAGACTATGGTCCTTAAACTTCAAGTCCAGGGGTTCAGTCCTAATGTGTACATAGTTTCTATAGCTGTGCCC